CAAGGATTCAACAGTTTCAAGGATTTCAGCAGTTTCAAGATTTCAAGAGTTTCAAGGACTTCAACAGTTTCAAGGACTTCAGCAGTTTCAAGGACTTCAGCAGTTTCAAGGACTTCAGTGTAATCATGCAACCTAATAGGGATTTTTCCATGTAAACCAGTATAATGCAACTTAATAGGGGTTTTTACATGTAAACCAGTATAATGCAACTTAATAGGGTTTTTTCATGTAAACCAGTATAATGCAACTTAATAGGGTTTTTTTTCATGTAAACCAGTATAATGCAACTTAATGGGGATTTTTCCATGTAAACCAGTATAATGCAACTTAATAGGGGTTTTTACATGTAAACCAGTATAATGCAACTTAATAGGGTTTTTTCCATGTAAACCAGTATAATGCAACTTAATAGGGTTTTTTCCATGTAAACCAGTACAATGCAACTTAATAGGGATTTTTCCATGTAAACCAGTATAATGCAACTTAATGGGGATTTTTCCATGTAAACCAGTATAATGCAACTTAATGGGGATTTTTCCATGTAAACCAGTATTATGCAACTTAATAGGGATTTTTCCATGTAAACCAGTATAATGCAACTTAATAGGGATTTTTCCATGTAAACCAGTATAATGCAACTTAATGGGGATTTTTCCATGTAAACCAGTATTATGCAACTTAATAGGGATTTTTCCATGTAAACCAGTATAATGCAACTTAATAGGGTTTTTTCATGTATAATGCAACCTAATAGGTTGCATTATACCACCAGACCAAGACCCAAACGAAGACTCAGACCACCACCAGATAATGACCACAGACCAGGTTTCCTTAGTTACAGGAACCAAATTGTTTCAGCGGTGAGGGGATTTTTCAGTTTCAAGGACACTTTCAATACATTCAGTAGTTTCAAGGATTTCAGCTGTTTAAGAATTTAACCAGTTTCAAGGATATCAGGAGGTTCAAGGATTTCAGGAGTTTCCACACTTTCAACAGTTTCCAGGTTTAAAAAAGTTTCAAGGATTTCAGGAGTTTCAATGTTTCAACAGTTTCAAGGATTTCAGGAGTTTAAAGGTTTCAACAATTTCAAGGACTTCAGGAGTTTCAAATATCTATCAAGTATTTTAACAGTTTCAAGGCTTTTTAAAGGATTTCAAGGATTTTTTTTAGCAGATTTCCACATTAGATCTGTTCCGCAGTCAATCGCAATGGCTTCAGCCATTGCAAGTTTCTAGTTACGTATTATTCATTGATTGACTGCGGAACCTTCCGCAGTCAACCATTGGTTTTGTATTTCTTTATTCCGTCATTTTTTTTGACACGTTTCACAGCTTTCACATTTTCAACAATTTCCACAAGTTATACATCAAAACGTTCCACATGTTTGGGAGATTATTGCTATTACTTTTGGGACTTCAGCGATTTCCGGTTTTTCCGCAATCGGACAAAAATCTGCATTGAGAATTCTGCAATGCATTTTAATAGGCCCATGCATTTTAATAGGACTTCAGCTCTTTCAGACATTTCTACAGTTTCAATGATTCAACAGTTTCAAGGATTCAACAAGGATTTCAGCAGTTTCAAGGATTTCAGCAGTTTTCAGAGTTTCAAGGATTTCAACACAAGTTTCAAGGAGTTTCAAGGAGTTTCAAAGGAGTTTAAAGGTTTCAACAATTTCAAGGACTTCAGGAGTTTCAAATATCTATCAAGTATTTTAACAGTTTCAAGGCTTTTTAAAGGATTTCAAGGATTTTTTTTAGCAGATTTCCACATTAGATCTGTTCCGCAGTCAATCGCAATGGCTTCAGCCATTGCAAGTTTCTAGTTACGTATTATTCATTGATTGACTGCGGAACCTTCCGCAGTCAACCATTGGTTTTGTTATTTCTTTATTCCGTCATTTTTTTTGACACGTTTCACAGCTTTCACATTTTCAACAATTTCCACAAGTTATACATCAAAACGTTCCACATGTTTGGGAGATTATTGCTATTACTTTTGGGACTTCAGCGATTTCCGGTTTTTCCGCAATCGGACAAAAATCTGCATTGAGAATTCTGCAATGCATTTTAATAGGCCCATGCATTTTAATAGGACTTCAGCTCTTTCAGACATTTCTACAGTTTCAATGATTCAACAGTTTCAAGGATTCAACAGTTTCAAGGATTTCAGCAGTTTCAAGGATTTCAGCAGTTTCAAGATTTCAAGAGTTTCAAGGACTTCAACAGTTTCAAGGACTTCAGCAGTTTCAAGGACTTCAGCAGTTTCAAGGACTTCAGCAGTTTCAAGGACTTCAGTGTAATCATGCAACCTAATAGGGATTTTTCCATGTAAACCAGTATAATGCAACTTAATAGGGATTTTTCCATGTAAACCAGTATAATGCAACTTAATAGGGTTTTTTCATGTAAACCAGTATAATGCAACTTAATAGGGTTTTTTTTCATGTAAACCAGTATAATGCAACTTAATGGGGATTTTTCCATGTAAACCAGTATAATGCAACTTAATAGGGGTTTTTACATGTAAACCAGTATAATGCAACTTAATAGGGTTTTTTCCATGTAAACCAGTATAATGCAACTTAATAGGGTTTTTTCCATGTAAACCAGTACAATGCAACTTAATAGGGATTTTTCCATGTAAACCAGTATAATGCAACTTAATGGGGATTTTTCCATGTAAACCAGTATAATGCAACTTAATGGGGATTTTTCCATGTAAACCAGTACAATGCAACTTAATAGGGATTTTTCCATGTAAACCAGTATAATGCAACTTAATAGGGATTTTTCCATGTAAACCAGTATAATGCAACTTAATGGGGATTTTTCCATGTAAACCAGTATTATGCAACTTAATAGGGATTTTTCCATGTAAACCAGTATAATGCAACTTAATAGGGTTTTTTTCATGTAAACCAGTATAATGCAACTTAATAGGGTTTTTACATGTAAACCAGTATAATGAAACTTAATAGGGGTTTTTACATGTAAACCAGTATAATGGAACTTAATAGGGGTTTTTACATGTAAACCAGTATAATGCAACTTAATAAGGATTTTTACATGTAAACCACTATAATGTAACCTAATAGGGGTTTTTACATGTAAACCAGTATAAAGCAACTTAATAGGGATTTGTACATGTAAACCAGTATAATGCAACCTAATAGGGATTTTTCCATGTAAACCAGTATAATGCAACTTAATAGGGATTTTTCCATGTAAACCAGTATAATGCAACTTAATAGGGATTTTTCCATGTAAACCAGTATAATGCAACTTAATAGGGATTTTTCCATGTAAACCAGTATAATGCAACTTAATAGGGATTTTTCCATGTAAACCAGTATAATGCAACTTAATAGGGATTTTTCCATGTAAACCAGTATAATGCAACTTAATAGGGGTTTTTACATGTAAACCAGTATAATGCAACTTAATAGGGTTTTTTTCATGTAAACCAGTATAATGCAACTTAATAGGGATTTTTCCATGTAAACCAGTACAATGCAACTTAATAGGGATTTTTCCATGTAAACCAGTATAATGCAACTTAATAGGGATTTTTACATGTAAACCAGTATAATGCAACTTAATAGGGATTTTTCCATGTAAACCAGTATAATGCAACTTAATAGGGTTTTTTCCATGTAAACCAGTATAATGCAACTTAATAGGGGTTTTTACATGTAAACCAGTATAAAGGATAACAGTTTAAAGGATATCAGGAGCTTCAAATACTTCAGGAGTTTCAAAGATGTTTAAAGTATTTTAACAGTTTCAAGGATTTCAAGGATTTTTCAGCTAAATTCCACATTAGATCTGTTCCGCAGTCAATCGCAATGGCTTCAGCCATTGCAAGTTTCTAGTTCAAATTGTAATTGTAAAAAGCAAGCAATTTGACATGCATATGCGGCATATTGTATCAGCAAAATACTTCACAAGGCCATACTTATGACACCGCCCATAGAAAAAAATATATATATATTGTGACCCAGTCTTAAACCCAGCGGGAAGTCGGCCATATTGGATCAAACAACTTTTTTGACTGAATGCTTCAGACTGGAGGGTCTTTGTTGACAACTTTGGTGGTTGGTTGTAAAACCAAATTTACTAAACAGTAAGGGAAACTCTTACCAAAAAGGTTTCTGGCAGGTTGCAGTGACTGTCTTTTCCTGAAACTGGATTGGTGAGGTTTTAAAACTGCTGCTTTTCAAAAAAAAAATTTTTTTTGCAAAAGATCAGGCAGCGTTGGCCTTCTCGTTTTAGAAAATATGGTCTATGGACAGTGTTGAATTCCTGCCTTGGATTTCTCCTGTTAACATTTTTTAAAGCCCTCCAGATTTTTGCCAGATTTCAATGGCTATCAGTGCAGACATCCAATATGAAATGTTGAATATCCTTTTTCCTTAAAACATCTATTCCATTCTTGTCTCTGCCAGGTCCCAATGCAGAACAACCAATTACAGTTTTATAAAAATAAGGGATAAAATGCTCTAAAAAGGGTCCGTGCCTCAAAATAAAATGGTCAATATAAGGGCCTTAAAACTGCTAGTGATTTCTTTTAACTACTCTATGGGGCCTGGTCTAACAGTGGCAACAATATCCTGCCACACATGTAAAAGTGGAGGCTGCTTGGTAGGGCTGGGCGATATGGCAAAAAAAAAAAATCTCCGATTTTTTCACACCAAATCCGATTTTCGATTTTAATCAATTTATTTTTTTCTATTTAAAAACAAACTACAACTGACAAAGAAATAGATTTTCCTTTATGCAGTTTAATCTAAATCCCCATGGAGCATAAGTGTAACAAGAATTAAGCCTTAAAACATGCTTGTAAACGAGATGGCTCTGCCATTGTAAACAGTGAAAATGTAGCTTAACAGTTTTATAATAACTTCACTTACAATGACACTATGCACCTTCAAAATAACGGTAACACTTTACATTACGGGCCGGTAAGTCCATGGTACTTACAGTGGTACTTCTAGGTACTTACAGTGGTACTTCTAGGTACTTACAGTGGTACTTACGGTGGTACTTACGGTGGTACTTACGGTGGTACTTACGGTGGTACTTACGGTGGTACTTACGGTGGTACTTACGGTGGTACTTACGGTGGTACTTACGTTGGTACTTACGGTGGTACTTACGGTGGTACTTACGGTGGTACTTACGGTGGTACTTACGGTGGTACTTACGGTGGTACTTACAGGGGTACTTACGGTGGTACTTACGGTGGTACTTACGGTGGTACTTACGGTGGTACTTACAGTGGTACTTACAGTGGTACTTACAGTGGTACTTCTAGGTACTTACAGTGGTACTTCTAGGTACTCACGGTGGTACTTACGGTGGTACTTACGGTGGTACTTACGGTGGTACTTACGGTGGTACTTACGGTGGTACTTACGGTGGTACTTACAGGGTACTTACGGTGGTACTTACGGTGGTACTTACGGTGGTACTTACAGTGGTACTTACAGTGGTACTTACAGTGGTACTTCTAGGTACTTACAGTGGTACTTAGAGGTACTTATTGTGGTACTTACAGTGGTACTTCTAGGTACTTATTGTGATAATTCTAGATACAGCTGTAACTTAGTAATTCAAGGACACTACAGTATTATTCCTATGTAGTAAATGTGGTACTTCTACATACATACATACAGAGGTCATTTGTAGGATTGTTTGACTATAAAACATAAAACAAAATTATGTAAAACAAACGTCTTTATTAATATGGAATAAGTAGCACAGAAAGGACAGTATAAATACATGTAATGCATATTTCAAAACAAGTTTCAAGGACAAGGGAAACACTGCAAGAACTAGGTACCCAACCCAAGTAACAAGAATTACACATTACCAGGTACTTACCAGCAAGTACCAGGTACTTACCAGCAAGTACCAGGTACTTACCAGCAAGTACCAGGTACTTAACAGCAAGTACCAGGTACTTAACAGCAAGTACCAGGTACTTACCATAGGGACTGGCCCATAATAAGACAAAGGACTTTAACATAAGTACCAGTGATAACACCAGTAATTATATAGTAAGTACCAGGTACTTACCATAGGAACTGGCCCATAATAAGACAAAGGACTTACCCATAAGTACTAGTGATACCAGTAATTATATAGTATACCATGTACTTACCAGCAAGTACCTGGTACTTGCTGGTAAGTACCTGGTACTTGCTGTTAAGTACATGTACTTGCTGGTAAGTACCTGGTACTTGCTGGTAAGTACCTGGTACTTGCTGGTAAGTACCTGGTACTTGCTGGTAAGTACCTGGTACTTGCTGGTAAGTACATGGTATACTATATAATTACTGGTATCACTAGTACTTATGGGTAAGTCCTTTGTCTTATTATGGGCCAGTTTCTATGGTAAGTACCTGGTACTTACTATATAATTACTGGTGTTATCACTGGTACTTATGTTAAAGTCCTTTGTCTTATTATGGGCCAGTCCCTATGGTAAGTACCTGGTACTTACTGTATAATTACTGGTGTTATCACTGGTACTTATGTTAAAGTCCTTTGTCTTATTATGGGCCAGTCCCTATGGTAAGTACCTGGTACTTGCTGGTAAGTACATGGTACTTGCTGGTAAGTACATGGTATACTATATAATTACTGGTATCACTAGTACTTATGGGTAAGTCCTTTGTCTTATTATGGGCCAGTTCCTATGGTAAGTACCTGGTACTTACTATATAATTACTGGTGTTATCACTGGTACTTATGTTAAAGTCCTTTGTCTTATTATGGACCAGTCCCTATGGTAAGTACCTGGTACTTACTGTATAATTACTGGTGTTATCACTGGTACTTATGTTAAAGTCCTTTGTCTTATTATGGGCCAGTCCCTATGGTAAGTACCTGGTACTTGCTGTTAAGTACCTGGTACTTGCTGGTAAGTACCTGGTACTTGCTGGTAAGTACCTGGTACTTGGCTGGTAAGTACCTGGTACTTGGCTGGTAAGTACCTGGTAATGTGTAATTCTTGTTACTTGGGTTGGGTACCTAGTTCTTGCAGTGTTTCCCTTGTCCTTGAAACTTGTTTTGAAATATGCATTAAATGTATTTATACTGTCCTTTCTGTGCTACTTATTCCATATTAATAAAGACGTTTGTTTTACATAATGTTGTTTTATGTTTTATAGTCAAACAATCCTACAAATGACCTCTGTATGTATGTATGTAGAAGTACCACATTTACTACATAGGAATAATACTGTAGTGTCCTTGAATTACTAAGTTACAGCTGTATCTAGAATTATCACAATAAGTACCTAGAAGTACCACTGTAAGTACCACAATAAGTACCTCTAAGTACCACTGTAAGTACCTAGAAGTACCACTGTAAGTACCACAATAAGTACCTAGAAGTACCACTAGAAGTACCACTGTAAGTACCTAGAAGTACCTAGAAGTACCACTGTAAGTACCACTGTAAGTACCACTGTAAGTACCACCGTAAGTACCACCGTAAGTACCCCTGTAAGTACCACCGTAAGTACCACCGTAAGTACCACCGTAAGTACCACCGTAAGTACCACTGTAAGTACCACCGTAAGTACCACCGTAAGTACCACCGTAAGTACCACCGTAAGTACCACCGTAAGTACCACCGTAAGTACCACCGAAAGTACCACTGTAAGTACCTAGAAGTACCACTGTAAGTACCTAGAAGTACCACTGTAAGTACCTAGAAGTACCACTGTAAGTACCACTGTAAGTACCACTGTAAGTACCACTGTAAGTACCACCGTAAGTACCACCGTAAGTACCACCGTAAGTACCACTGTAAGTACCACCGTAAGTACCACCGTAAGTACCACCGTAAGTACCACCGTAAGTACCACCGTAAGTACCACCGTAAGTACCTAGAAGTACCACTGTAAGTACCTAGAAGTACCACTGTAAGTACCATGGACTTACCGGCCCGTAATGTAAAGTGTTACCAAAATAACTTAAATCACACAAACAAGGCCCATCGCAAATATATCAATCCTATTAAACACATGCATTATTTACATGAAATATCACATTTTTAAAACTGATTACTCAAAATAGAAATGTTGTAACAGACAGTCTTTTCCAAAAGCCTCCTCGGGTTTTCATGCTTGTTCTTTCAACTGTGCCTGAGTAACTGTGCTGTAGTACAACGCTCGGTCCAGCTGGTGGCGCTAATACTAACTTTAGTGACTCCCGCATTGTGCGAGCTTCCTGTTTACATTCTGATGCTGTAGCTAACAGCTACTGTAGCAGCTACTGTAGCTAGCAGCTACTGTAGCAGCTACTGTAGCTAACACCTACTGTAGCAGCTACTGTAGCTAACAGCTACTGTAGCAGCTACTGTAGCAGCTACTGTAGCAGCTACTGTAGCAGCTACTGTAGCTAACAGCTACAGTAGCTAACAGCTACTGTAGCTGCTACTGTAGCTAACAGCTACTGTAGCTAACAGACCGCGGGGAACACGTTGTTTGTATCAGAGCAATGAGAGCAATGTGTGAGACGTGTCTTTCCCCAAAGTGCAGCGGCTCAGTGGGACACGAGTGTGTGCGCGCCACGGACACGGGAGTGCGCTTTGGAATAACGAGCGTGAGAGAGCGTGAAAGATGTGGCGTACGAACATGGCGTACAAACATAGCGACCGGAGCCTGCGTGCGTGTGTGTGTGTGTGTTCTGGCGATTTAAATAAAGTCTGATTCTTGAACGTTTGAAGTGTTATTGCAACAGCACCAACTGTGAGAGCGAGCATCAGGCCAGAGGGAGACTGTTAGCATTAGCTTAGCTTCAAAATGACTGCTCAACACCATAGACCCGCGGTTAGCGCGTTAGCGCTGTAGTTCTGCGCTGGAGAAAATAAAAATCAAATTTTAAAAAAAAGAAATCGCCCTAAACGTAAAACTCGAATTAATGATTAAAATCGATTAATCGCCCAGCCCTACTGCTTGGTCACGTCCCTGCGTTCTCAGCTTTTGTCGAGCGTTGCATGTGGTCCTCCCATGGGAATCCGCTTGGATCATGGTCCTCCACGCGCCCTGGTCCGGTTCGCCCTGTCTTGCTTTCCATTTGAGTTCCTGATTCCCTGGTTCCTCCTCTGTTGCTCACACTTCCCGTTTCCTCCCGTTTCTCCTTGTTTCCTTGTCCACACGAGTTCTTACTGTTTAAGTCGCTATGTCCGGGTTGTAAAGGAGTAGCTAATTCTGTCCGGACAATCAGTCACAGGGGGAGGGCTGTCAATCAGGCTGCCTCCATTCCTGATAATAGGTCTAGGTGTTAAAACATAAAACCAAACTCACACTAAAAGAACTACAAACCACACAAATAAAAATGGCCTAACATTTGGAGCACCAGGCGAAAGCCCATGTTCGACAGTTTATATTTTGTTAATTTTTGCGTTCATATTTCCAAGAAGTATTTGTTTCTTTAATCAAGTCAGCATAATGAATGCAATTTCTTTTTTTCTGCATTATTGTGTGGATAAAAAAAAAAGTTTCAGGCCATTTCAGGGTGAGGATGAACTTACAAAGAACATCGCAAAAGGCTTCTCATTAAAACATTTCTGGTATTTTAGAACAAACTGCACCGTTGCACTTGGATCTGAGGTGTGGATAACTACATTTTTCAATACTTTTTGCTTTCTTGTGTGCGCAACCCTCAATGGCCTTTTGTCAGCGTGTCTATGATGCCACTAATCTTTCTTGGAGACTGAACACTGTCCAGACACGCCCCCACACTCCTGCCCACAACACGCACACAAACACAGGTGTTTTCTCGGCATTGTCTGAATGTTAATTACATGCGCAAGGCATCTGGGGCCATCCATTGCTAATCCTCTTTTAATTATATGTGTCCCCACAATGACACAAGGTTTACAATAGTGATTACAGGCATATAAGACATAGTGAAAAGTAGAGAGGAACAGCGCCAAGGGACATGGCAATCATTATAAAGCAAATGTTTGTTCGTCCATGCCAGGATGCATTTAAGTCATGTATGCAATTCTGCTTAGTCTCTGTCAATGACTTTTGAATTTTAATGTTTTGGTTAAGAACATTAAACAAATACAAAATGTGTCACTTTTTTTTTTTTTTTACATAATACAAAATATGACACATGAGATGAAATATATATACAGTTTTGAGATACAGTTATTACGAGGGAAAGTATTACGATTGTTCACAAATACTGTGCAAAATGTGAAAAATTCCAAGCCACTGTTTACCTCCACTACTGCAAAAAAAATTCACAACTGAGCTCTTGGGATAATCAATGACTCTTCTGCCCCCTGGAAAAGCTATGTTCCAGCTTCTTCCCTCTGGCAGAAGATACGGTTCGTTGAGATGCAGGACATCATGTTTTGCTCACAGCTTCTTTCCACAAGCTTTAAACAGAGCACTTTAATGATATTACACTTGTATTGAATTTGTTTTAGTTGATCAATTTCACAGTGTCAATTATTTCCTGCACTTTTTGATTGTTTTTATCTCTGTACTTTTATCCTTGTTTTATTTCTGTACCGTACTTGTCTGGTGCACACTGGGGACTTTTGCAAATGTATTCCAATGTGGTTTCACTGCATATGGCAAATAAACCTGAATCTGAATCTGACATGTTTGACCTGGTCAGGGCTGCATGACCAACAAAAAAATGAAAATGTTGCGGTAAGAGTGTATGCACTTGTAATAGAGGAAGACTGTACCAGCAATACACTTGTATACACACCTCTTTTCCTTTAAAGGGTCTGAGGGGAGCTCCTTTTAGTGTGCACAGGGAAACCATGAATAAAACACCCATTTGACCCTGTCTGCTATAAAGCCTGTGTTTGTTGCGCCTCACAGGACCCTCTTTATCCTCCTCTCTCCCATGCCCCCTTTCTTTCAGATAGATATCTTGGCCTTTTGTTTTCTTCTCCATCCTGTCATGGCAGGACTTCATGTCATATGCATGAGGCGCAGTGGGAGACGTACAGTGGACAGCACATTGAGATCCCACACTGAGTCGGGCGACCTGAAAACCTCACTCTGACCGTTGACCTTTGGCATTGTGACGAAGTGTTGCCGGGTCTGCTCATTAATCATGTGGCTATTGCTGTCATGCGAATAAAGAGGAAGATGACCGGCTAAGGAGAGTCAGAGGTGTGTAGCTGTGTCTGCCCGATGGAAGATGCCAGTGCAGATTGCCTCTGGCCTTTTTGCCCGGTCCAGTCTCGAACAATGATCTCTTTTAGTTTGGCTTGGTGTGTGTGTGTGTGTGTGTGTCCTCTCACTCAGGATCACATGCCTCTCAAACACATAAAGAGCAGTGTCCAACTAAGATCACCAATAACCCAATGAGTCTCCCAATAGCAACATTTCCTTCATAATAATAATGTTAATGTTGAATTAAGAAGAGTGGGGATTGCACAACATACCATCAGCTTCTCATTCGCACATTTACATATTAGCGCGACGGCTGCGAAATGCACTGATGAAGGTCATTTTTGTTATGTTTTTATGTGACGGTATAATTTATAGTCCCTGTAGGCAAACAAACTCATCACTAAGGGTTCCTACCTAATGCTGCATTTACAATCTGGTAATAACTCCTAATGTGATGATTTCAGCGGATAAAGAATTATCCGTAAATTCTCGGTTTCACTTTGCGAGATGAGGCTTGCATTATATCGTCCATATTAACCTGGATAATGGTTTTGTTTGATAATTGCACACTAGCCCTTGTTTGTGTTTTCCTCTTTGATGCAGTGTTATTTTTATTTCTACTCGACAATGAGATGTCTGAAACTGTCAAGAGCTCGTTCTTGTGTAAATCTTGCCATGCACCTTTCCTGGCTCCAACTGAAGGAGCTGCTTACTGCCAAAGAACATTTCATTCTGATTGATAAGAGATTTGCTAATTATGCGTAGTAGACAAAGTTGTTTTCTGTTGTTTGATTGTGTTTATTCTGAAAAAAAAGAAAAAAGAAAAACAATCCAATCATATCAGCAAAAATATTGCCAGACTAAAACTTGTATTACATTGACCTGCTAAGCTCATGCATTCAATTCCAAAGGATATTTATATAAACTTTCATTTTTGCCATTTATATAAACTTTCATATTTCATTACTATAAAAGTAATGAAATATAATGGAACTGAATATAACTCTGGAAAAAGTGGAGCAAAAAATGCATCAATCATCTCTTTTTATTGAATCGCAGCCTCTGAATTCTAAAAAAATTGTATGGCTCCCACTAAATACTGTTTTCATGAGCATGGTGGGTGTGGGCCCGTGTCATATTTGATTGGATTTGATTTTGAAACTACACTTTAAACACACAGTTGAACACGGTCCTCTGTTGCTATCATAATATTTAATTTAAAACGTCTTTTGTTTTTACACCGCACCATTAGAGGCATTTAATAGTGAAAGATGTTCATGGCAGAAGTCTCCGTTGTCTCATACATGTTTTCACAATGTCTTACAATCACTCAAACATGAATGACTCAAAATATAGCCGAGCTCAAATACCTCCCTCAGTGCCTGGATAATGGAATTATTCGTCGGCTTTCGAAAATGTACCTGTTCAACACCACAAGCATTACCTCATCCATTTTCTCTATCATTTCCTCTCTTCAGTGCATTACTTTGACAGCCGTGTATCCATACATTCATGAAGCTACATCTCTGCACCCCTTCATCTAGCCCATCATTGAGTACACTCCTGTCACACATCCTCCCAGCCTCCTCTGATTCCCTGAGCTGATCGCGGGGGCTCCAGCTGGGCTTGGCAGGATCCCAGGATGCCCAGGGTTGTGCTCTTCCGCTTTGGCCTGGCCTTCCTGCTGTTAGCATTGCATGCCATGGTGTTAGAGAGGGGGAGAAAAGTCAGCATGCATAATAAATAGCAGGGTAAAAAAAAGAAACAAAACATTTAACCCTTTGGATGCATTCCACAATAGTGCAGTTGACACAAATATAATTTGTAATATGTTTAAATTAATACATATACTGTACATTGATTAAACAAATGCACAATATTCCGTGTGCATTTACATGTTTGAGGATTGGACTTTGAGCATTGCGCAACTTTTCAGTTTCAATATCTGCTGCTTGTCTGTTATATATGTTAACGTATGGATGATTGCTTTTATTTTAAACATGAACCATGTTATAAATAACAACATTTAATTTTAGTTTTGAGAGCAAGTGAGGCACAGCCCTTCCCTGACTGCAAGTCTGGGGCACATACATTATTGACCTTCATTCAAATAGGAAAGTAAATAAGTGCTATGATTTTGCTCTCTGCTCCACATGAGCCTGCCCATGCCTACTGTACGTTTCTATGGCACATCTGTTGTTATTTCATTTACGTGCATTTTCGCCATTCAAATATATTACTCATCCTCTCCTGGCTGTGGGCTGCACTCGTCCCTGTGTAGAGCCCTTACAGCCAGGTGAAGAATCCATTGTGTCCACCTGTCTCTCCTCCCACACACTCAGCACTTTGTTTACCCTGATAGAGCTTTGTTATCTTCCCTCTATTCCCTCCTCCATCAGACGTGCTATAGACATGACAATAACTGCATTTCCATTGAACATTTGCAATAAATGTTTTGATATTCTATCATTTTTGACATATATAATGTCAAAATTACATTGTGCATCATTATTAACCAGAGTGGGGCTCCTCACAGACTGCTGCATATACAAGGAACTCTTGGAGAAGGGGTTATAGTCACAACAGTGGCTGGACGGACCACATGGGCCACTGCACGGACCCAGGATCACAGCCCCTGGTCTCTGCGCATCGTAAAATGTGGACCCGGTCTTGGAGCGGTTTTGCTCCGGTCTGTGATCACACAGCTGGCATGACGCTGCGGCACAGACATGAGGACCTGGACTGAATTAGAAGCGAGACTAGACCAGAGACTGAATCCTGACCAGAGACATGACTTTGATCAGTGATTTCACAGAGGAGCGTTCTAACATGTTAGGACATTGGTGGCTCCTGCGCTATGACCGGTGAAAGTCTTTAGGTTTGTGGGGTGAGCATCGCTGTTTTCAATGTAAATGAGGCAAAACAAATGGATTTGCGTAATTACCCAGACCATAGTCGTTCCAAAGTTTACGAAGCGATTGATGAGTCACATATTCTGCCCCGAGGATTATGGCCTGGCCATCGATCCAATGCAGGGGCAATGTGCCCCCGCATGCACAAGGCTGCGAGCACAATGCCCCGCGGACACCAGGCCAGCCTGAGATACCATGTCCTTCTTATTTTCATGAGCACCCTCCATATTTCAGACTTAGAATGCATAGTTTTATGCTCTAACAAGGGCCTGGCCAACAGCTTTCCCTGCTATACCCAAGACATGTTTTCATTGCAGATTTGTGATTTGAGAAGTAACATTGTTTGTTTTATTCACACACATTGCCTGTATTTTTTTAATTTGCAAATTTCAAACAATTTTTTTTACTGCTGCAACCTCTCTCATATATTGAATTGTTCGATGTGCCCTCTTCAAATCAAAATCTAAATATGTTCGATATAAATCAAATGGTATGTTTCCTTTGTGTGCCGCTCCGACTGTCGCCTCTGAAGAGTGCCCCTCCCCCTATGCCATGGGATGCCGGGATCTGGAAAAGGGATCTGAACGCAGATTCTAACAAACACACTAAAGGATATAAAGTATCCTGCAACACAAGATCTAAATCATTATTTGCTCCGAAAAGAAAAATAAAGAGTCATTAAGACTGAAGTATTTGTTCAAATGCACAACAAAAGTAAAAGAGGGACAAAAAGTACAATTTATAAATTTAATTTTCATGTTAAATTAATCCAATCAAAGTGAAATTGTGGACCTCATATCGCAATACATATCGAATCATACCTTCAATGTAACATTGTGTCCATACTCTTCTGTGTGTGTGTGTGTGTGTGTGTGTGCGTCTGCTCGTGCGTGACTTCTTAATAATATATGTGGTTTGGGATGGGTCTGTTGGGTGGTCTGGTGGAGGGGTCTTGGGCCAGTCGGATTGCTTTTAACCAAACTGTACAGGCACTTTGTGTTGCATCTTCTGTATGAAAAGCGCTTTATAAAGAAAAATGTGATTGATTGATTGATACAAGGAACCTTCATTTCAATTTGATTCAATATATGATTCTACCGTGGGCCTACAGAGGAAGCCATCTTCCCGTGGACCCGCCACCTGCCGGAGGAGCAGCAAGGGACTGGTGCTATTGGGTGGCAGCTCTCATTGCCACCCCTCCGACCCAGAAATGGACTAATAAAGGGGTTGAAAATGAATGAATGAATATAATTCTACCTGATTTAATGCAATTCAATAAACTAATACCTAATTAACTGCAATTCAGGGAAAAAAAATTGAGCCGAATGGTCCCTTACAAACGGCTCAGTCTCATTTTATGTCCCATAATCCAGAAAAATATCTCAAGACAAATGTCATAAATCAAAAGTTCACATAGCCCATACACTTTATAAAGTTTTTTTTTCCATTATTTGTTTTTTCCTTTTGAATATTTTGAATATATTTATTGTTTTACTTGAACCTTATTTTATTATTCTGCTTGCTTATTGTCATTATTGTTAAAACTATTATTATTCACAAAAAAACTAATTACAAATATACAAAACTATGTTATTTTCCAAACGCTACATTGGTTTTCTGTGTCATCATCCACCACAAGGTCCTTGCACTAATTGATTTAGTATTTGTGTTAGTCACTTTCTGCTACATTGCATAACTAAAGCCCCAACCTAATTGTTTACTATTAATTAACTTTAAAGTTTTGTTTTTTTATTTTATTATTGTCTAATGTTTTAAGTTTTACAAATGGCGAGCTAGCCAGGAGTTGAAAAATAAAATGCATTTGGTCAAGAAAACACTCCACTTAACACACATAACTTCAAATCAATCAAATCAATCAAACAATCCATACAATACTTACCCCCACAGACGAAGCGCAGTCCGAAGCCACCATGGACAGGTCTCTACACTGGCTTCCTGTGGCTCAGAGAATAGACTTTAAAACAGCTCTGCTTGTGCACAAATCTCTCCATGGCCTCACACCAAAAT